AGGGTTTAGGGCTTAGGGTTATGGGAGATCTCGGTACCAAGTGCGTAGAGTGTGTAGGTTTAGGATGCATATTTGTACATGTCTTAACCTCCCGAAATGACCACGGCTGTGTTCGGATTCAAGATATGTCGTCTTACACGAGCGTAGACTCCCGACGTCTGTTCGTGTTCTGACTTTGTCTTGTGAGACCGAGTTCCTGTACTCAAAATATGGGTTTCACAACACTTCGACCTGTAAGAACGAGCCAGTCTTACTTGCGAGCCTGTAGCCTCGGCAGCACCCGAGGCTTTGTTTTTACCCTCAGCTTCACTCGCGCACGCATTAGATGCCCACAAGCACGGTGCGGACCATGCATGTACCGCTATTCCCGAACTCAAAGCCCCATGCCCTCAGCCCTTCACCCTTAAGGATACCTTCGAAAGAGAAGTCACACTCACAATGGCAAGCACCCGGCGAATAGGTATCACGTTAGTAGTGAGTAGATGTTAGACTATAAGCGTGGTATTGATAGCAATAGGAACCATAAGTTGATGGATGTCGTACAAAAGAGGGGACTAGCGTCGGGGTCTGAATACATAGTAATTAGGAGTTCCACTGTAAAGCTGCTTTCATGCCCCATCTACTCTCGATGAGTCCCTGAATACCTACTAGTTGGAGCCATATACCCCTACTCAAGGGTACAACGCCGGTACTGGATCCCTGTAGACCTTAAACCCTAAACCCNNCCAAACCTCTAAACCCTAAGCCCTCAGCCTGTTAATTCGACCATGCCGGTCGACGCTCCAAACTTAAGCCGCTGAAGCCGCGAGAGTCTGAGCTCAGGCGGTCGGCAGAAGTCGAAGCGCATGCAGGAGCCTTGCGACTTCCCAAAGAATGGATCAGGGTTTAGGGGTTGGTTTAGGGTTTAGGGTTTAGGGTTTAGGGTTTAGGGTTTAGGGGTTTAGGGTTTAAGGGCTTCAGGGCTTTAAGGCTGCGACATAAGATCAGAAATCTAGGGATTTAGGGTTT